AAAATAAAACATATATAGAAAAGTATATAAATAATAGTACAGAAGAAGAAAGAAAGAAAAAAAACAATCATTACAAGTTATAAAAAAGCTAAATAATATTTTTCCATATCCAAATTATGTTGTATAAAATTTATCCATTTTTCCCATACCGCAAAAAATTTCTCTTGAGATTGCTCCTTTAAAAAAGCCGAAATCTTTGCCATTTCTGCCAAATACGAAACTTTATAAAACCACTCTTGTAAAATAGGCAAGGATTCCTTCTTCCAATATTGTCCTATTAACAGCCTAGCGGCTGTAATCAAATTTAGCATCAATATAACCTCCCTAGCATCACAATCAGTAACAATACCTAATAAAAATAATTGCGGAGTAAATTTTACCCTCCTTCTAAAAATTCTCTGAATATTCCACCATATCTTAATCCAAAAAGCTTTTATATGCTTACACGTCCACCAGATATGATAATAAGTAGCATCCAAGTGTCCACATCTCCAGCATTTCGGCTGTAAATTAGAGTACATAATGGACATTTTCTTTGGATCAAGGTGCCATCTATAAAACATCTTATAAAAATTCTCTCTTAAATTTTGCGCTTGTGTGAATTTAACATTTCTTATCCAAATAAGTTCCCAAGTATCCATTGAAATCGATTCACCAATATTCTGTGCCCATTTAATCATACAATCTTTAACTAATTCAGATTCTGAATCCAATTCCACTAAAACCCCATAAACTCTCTTAATATGGGTTGGCCTTTGATCTCTTACTTGTTTTAGGAGAATTTCATCTTCTCTAAGCCAGCCCATTTTACAATCCATCTTCCATCTGTCCACTATTTGTCTATATTGGAACCATGAATAAGTTAGATTTTCATGTGTTAGTTCTTCCAAAGATTTTAACTGCCAGTCTTGGCCATCCCATCTAAGTAACTGTGCATAAGAAACCGTATCCATATTAACCCCTTTCCTTATACCTTCTATGGCATGCCGAGGTATAGCCCATAATGGTATTTTAAAATCACATTTATAATACTTCCTCCACACTCTAAGCAAAGAGATTCTTATAATATGAGACTTAAAAACCCAATCCACTTTTTTATTAAATATTAAATAGGCATGCCATCCAAAAAGTAAATCCCAACCTTCCAAATGAAGTATTTCTATATTTGTTAAATTCACCCAATCGCTGATCAATGTTAGTACTACAGCATCATAATACAATTTCATATTTGGTACCTTGAGTCCACCTCTCTCACGAAAATCTTGCATTATTTTAAGTTTCACCCTTGGTTTTTTCCCTGCCCAAACAAATTTATTAATACCTTTTTGCCATTCATCTAAATTACGATCACTCTTTAAAATAGGTAACATTTGAAACAGAAAAATAAACTTTGGCAGGACATTCATTTTAATAACTGCAATTCTACCCATAAGGGATAACTGTAAATTGTTCCAATTTTTTAAATCCTTCTGTATCTCCGTCCACAACTTTTCATAATTATTTTTATACAGTTTTGCATTGGAAGCAGATAATGTAACCCCCAAATATTTTACCTTATCAACAATTTCAAAGTCTGTTAACTTAACTAAAACCTGTTTATCACCATTAGTCATATTTTTAGCTAATATTTTGGTCTTATTATTATTAATTTTAAAACCAGAAACACGTCCATATTGTTGGATCAATTGTAATAATTTTACCACCGAACAAGTAGGTTGAGACAAAGTAACAACCAAGTCATCTGCAAAGGCTCTTAATTTATATTCTTTTTTGTTAATTTCTATTCCTTTTATTTCTTGAGACTCCCGAATTTTAATCAACAATATTTCCAATGTTAAAACAAACAATAACGGGGATAACGGGCATCCCTGTCTTGTACCTTTTTCTATTACAAAAGCCTCTGACAAACCCCCATTTACAATAAGTTGAGCAGTCTGTTTTTGATATATATTAGATAGTACTTGTAATATATTTTGTCCAAAATTCATCTCCTTAATTAAACATAACATAAAATGCCAGTTCACTTGGTCAAAGGCTTTTTCAGCATCCAAAAATATCAAGCCTGCAGAGACTTGGTTATTCTTTTCTAAATACTCTAATAAATTAATGATTTGTCTAACATTATTTTTCATATACCTTCCAGTTATAAAACCCGATTGATCCTTATGTATAATCTGCTGCAAAATCCCCATAAACCTATTAGCTAAAATTTTGCAAAAATTTTATAATCCACATTTAAAAGAGATATAGGCCTATAATTTTTAGGCAATGTAAGATCTTGATTGTCTTTTGGAATCAGTGATATAAATGCATTACGCCAAGATGGAGGGATCTCTAACCCCTGTAATAAGTTATTAAACAATTCACACAACGGTTGAGTCATCTCTTCTACTAGAGTTTTATAATAAATAGATGTCAACCCATCCGTACCCGGCGCTTTGCCCAATTTCAATTGTTTAATAGCTGTAACAATTTCTTCCTTAGTAATTAAACCATTAATCTCTTTTTCCTGATCTTCTGTTAATTTAGGAAAATTAACTTTACCTAAATAATTGTTTATATCTGTAGTTTGAATATTAGTACTCTTGTATAATTTTTGGTAGTATTCTAAAAAAGATTTCTTAATCAATTCTTTCTGATAAACCAATTTACCATTATAATTTATTTTATCTATATTCCTCTGTTTCTGTTTCTTTCTTAACTGATAAGCCAACCATCTCCCTGGTTTATTAGCATTACAAAATGTATTTTGTTTCATAAATAGTAAATTGGTTGCAGCTTGATCAGCCATCAACATATTAAATTGTGTTTTTAACAGTTTTATAGCTCCTTTCACCTTTTCATCTAAAGGATTTGAAATTAGGAGTTTCTCTTTTAATTTAATCTCCTCTTCTAAATCTTTACGTTTCTGAATCTGTTTCTGTCTATGCAAGTTATTCATTTTTATCAAAATACCACGCATAAAAGCTTTACTTGCATCCCACACCATTGACATTGATGTTCCCTTATTCATATTTAAAGCAAAATATTCCTTTAAACATTCCTTTAGTTTATGGACATTTTTTTCTTGTTTAAATAAGTAAATAGGTCTTCTAGCAGTTATCTTTATGCAACCAGCCATGCTATTAATTACAGACTAATTACCTTCTGCTCTTTGGGGCTTGTAAATAAGACCACTGTTTTGATCTCTTTTTATTTTATTTTATTTTTTATGCAGATGAGAAACAGAGAGTTTGTTGAGGGTGAGTCACTCATATTTTTAACTTGGTTGGAATCTAGAGGACAAGGGTTTCTTGTTACCTAAGAACAGTCAATGCCTAAAGGCTGGTTAATATTTGTCCAAAGTTCTAAAGATGAAAAGGCTTCCACTAATGTTGAATGCATACATCTGGACTATAAAATGTGTGTGCAATAGCAAATAAAATGGCCTGGAACATTAAATTTTAAATTAATATGAAATATGAAATACGAGTACAAAGAAAAGAGCCTGAAGCTTTTGATTTTAGATTTGATAAACATTTTTATTTACCTACTCTGTAACCTAGTTGGTTACAAGGACATAAATTCCAAATGTGGTACCTGTGTACTTACAGACTCTTCCTTGGTGTTTGTTAAGGAAAATCCTTTTAATAAATAATATAAAGAAAAAATGTAACTGGGCCTAAGACAGAACCTTGGGGTCCTCCACTGCATGCTTCTCTCCATGTAAATGTAGTGCCATTGACTACATATTGAGTATGGTTGGTCAGCCAGTTACAAATCCATCTGGTGGTGATGCTGTCTATCCCTTCCTTACCAAGAAGTAGGTTGAAATCTACTTTGTCAAATGCCTTACTGCAGTCCAAGTATACTATTTCCACAGCATTTCACTGGTCTACTAATTTGATCACTTTGTCAAAGAAAGGAATAAGATTTGTCTGGCATGATCTGTTTTTGACAAACTTATGTTGTCTTCTAGTAATAGCTTTGTTTGTTTCTAGGTGTTCACATATCCGTTGCTTGATTATCCTTTCTAGTATCTTCCCAGTATTGATGTCAGGCTGATTGGTCTGTAGTTTCCTGGATCCGTTTTTTTTTTTTTTTTCCTTTTTTGAAGATAGGAACTGCATCTTTTTCCAGTCCTCTGATAATTCCCCTGTGCTCCAGGATCTTTGAAAGATATGGTTCAGTGACTCTGAGATCACATCTGCCAGTTCCTTCACAACTCTGAGATGTAATCCATCTGGTCCTGGTGATTTGTACTTGTCTAGAGTAGATAGGCATTGTCTTCCCTTTTTCTTGCCTATTTTGACTTGTATTCCTAATCTGTGTTTTACGGCAGGGGCCATGTGAAGGGATGGCCAGTGCATGCACACACGGGAGTGCACTCACACACATCCCACACATGCGCTAGCCATGAGCATCCTGCCAGTGCTAGCGCTGCCCCGCCCCTGAGCGGGGCAGTGCATGAAACTACACCCCTTCCGATCCACAGAAAAAAATGCACTCCATGGAACCAGTCACTGTTGCTCAAAAGGTTGGGGACCTCTGTTTTACAGTACTGATTTTGATAGGTTGGAGTATTTTTTTTTCCTTTTCATGTAAAGACAGATGCAAAGATCCACTTTCTCTCTGCTGCCCCTACCCTCTTGCTATCTTCTGCTATTAGTTTCCTTTACTTTTTTCTTGATTTTTATAGGTTGAAACTTTTTTTATTATATGCAAAGCAAAGCAGTGGCTTCAGTTAACTTTTTTGTTTTCAAAAATGTCTCTGGGTCCCATTCAGACAATGTATATCATTACAGGGGTGGTACATCCCAGTGTTTAGTAAATATGTTCCTTTGTCATGTGAAAATTACATTATGGGTGGCTGGAGTTAAAATGAAGTTACCTTGCCAATTTGCATTATGGTAAATAAGTGGTATTTCTTGGCTCCCTCAAAGTGGCAGTTATGTAATGTTGGTACTGATATATAATTTAACTCAATATTCCAAATGTACTCAACAGCCCAGAAACATTGGTTGGACCACAGATTATTTTAATAAAGATTTACAATTATATAATATGTTTTTCTTAACCATCTACTCATACAGAACAGAAATTCAATGTTGCCTTCTTCATCCTGAGGTTGTCCAAATATTTTGGTAACTATAATTTCCAGAAGTTCTGGGCAGATCAATTGCAATGTGTCTTTTGACAATCAGATGTGCCTTCTTTTCTTGTTCCTCTTCTTGACTCTGTAGTCTGGCTAGAGGCTGTTCCCTGTCAACTACCTGGCAATTCTGAAAACTAGTCCAAGCACCTCTGGAAGTTGCCAGGCTGTAAATTATTTTATCTTAATCAGACATTGCAGAAAAGGGAGCCTCTCCCTTTAGAATAAACAAGCAAGCAGAAAGAGAGGTCAAGGAAACTCTCTCTCTCTCTCTCTCTCACACATACACACACACACACTCATTACTGTCTATAAAATAGGCATGTGATTGAAGGACAACCTCTGAGCAGTTGAACAAATTCCAAGGTTTGATATGGCATTGCAGTGCCCTCTAGAGCTTCTGGAACCCTCTTCTTTAGACTTGAATAGATGGAATCCCGGTTTTATTTCTCACAAGAGTGAAATGGAAAATCACTGAAAACCTCTGCACCTTTAATCAGTAATTTTATTACCGTTCATTAGAAAGCTAGGTTTAATTCCTAGATAATTTCTGATTTGCTAGCTAGACCCAAGACATCATAGATGGAGCATTATCTTTGGGCAAGAAACAATCCACATTCTTTGGTAATGTGGTTTTCATGTATCTCTCACATTCTATGAAACTTAAGTGGATTAAGTGGTTCGAAGGACAAAAAAGTCTTAATTCTGAACATCCAAGCATGTGACCCAAAAGATCTTTCTCCAACTCTCCTCTCTGTAAAAAACAAACAAAAAACCACCATGTGTTTAATGCTGAAACCAGAGACTTTATTCAAGGAGGTAATAAGTAACTAACGTAAACAAGCTGACTATTGATTTCATTTGGAATTCTCTCTGTATATGATTGTTTCCTTTCCTTGCTTACTCTATATCTTTCTTTTCCCAATGAAGTCATTTTTCTTTCTAGAGATTTGGCTTCACTGCTTAGAAGAGAATACCTAATCAAAATCACTTTCAGAAAAAAAAAGCATTTATCAGGAATTTTTTTACTGTTCCAGTGTTTTTTTAATTCAAAAGCATTCTTGAAAATGAATATGACTCTAGAAGTATAATATTTTCCTTTTTTAAAAAAATTAATCATAAAAGAGTCTGGGGACAAACTACTGTCCATAGGCACCATCTTGAATCCATGTACATGACCTTCTTGTCTCCACACAACAGAGCCCTACTTACCTTTGCCAATACTGTATACCCTCATGAGATAACCTCTGTATCATTGTCAGCCAGCTATTAAGTACAATTCTCACTGCAGCCTCAGTTGTTTGCTTCTCATGAGGCTCCTGCCTATTTCTTAAGCCAACTTCAGAAATTCCACTTCAGATTGTAACAGGTTGGCAACTGGGACAGGCTGATGTTCATTCTGGACTTTAATCACTGGAAGAACTGACTAGTCGAACCACTGACTCTTATTCTTCCTCTCCATGCAAAGAAGGCAAGTCTCCCTGGCTCCTATGTGGACCAGCCTATCAGGACCTCTTTTTCCCTTTGGGGATTGTTCCTCACCAGTCCCAGTGGCTTGCCTTGGCTTTCTTGATATTGGCACATGGATGCCTCCATATAGTAATTCTTTTGACAGTAAAGCAGACCCTTTTTCTTCCTTTTCCTTCTTATTTCAGAACTGATGCTCTGATGCCACAGCAATCAAAGTATCAGGGGAAAAGACTGTTCTTTTCTTCTGCAGATTCAGGAAATCGTAACAAGGAAGAACTGATAATCCAGCTTCCTAGGAGCAAAGCAGTAGCATTCTTATTTTTGCCACATAAAGATGTTTAAAAAATGAAGTCAGGGGCAGGGGAGCTTTGCAATAAGGTGGGTGGAGTGGGGAGCAAGAGTGCCCCAGCTTTGAACAGACTGTGCAAAAATAAAGAGGATAGAATCTTTGTTTTGGGGTCTTTTCTGAGAACTATTACTATCCTCTCCATAGGTCTTTTTCCTTCCAGGAAAAGATCTGGCTGTTGTAGGAACTCTGGGGAGTTTCCTTCTATTACACTAGGTATCTGGTGTTCCACTTCAGTGCTTCTCTTGATGCCTAAACCTGAACTTGGTTCTTTCATTTTAGCTGAGATTCCTACAAGTGTGTCCTAATTTCTAAAAGTAAATCTGCACAATTTCTTACTGTAGAATCAGGAGTCCATCTTAGCTAATTATCAATCCTTCTCTTCTTGTTGTATTCCGCTAAACCTTCCTCACACAGCATGGCATTGGGACAATTCTCCATCACTGCAAAGACTAACTGTCCTTTCCATCATTTCTACTGAAAAGGTGATTTAACTAAAGCAGTTTTTGCATGGCCTTTGGCACACAGTGTTTATACTTACAGTGCTTGGGCTAAGCATTGGCCCATGACAAGTGGGCCTGTTGGATGTCCACCCACTATGACATCTATTTGCTCATAGGTAAAATAGTATCCAAACTGAATTTAGATAAGACCTCTCCCCTCATAAAAACCTTGGGAGGTAATACTGGCATATTTCTACTACCTCTGGAGGTCTACATTCTGCTAGCTTTTGGGACTTCTCTTCTACTGTCTCTGGGTCTTGGATTTCTTTAGAAAGATTTATATTTCTCTCTTTGTAGTTGGACCATAAATTGTACAAGCTGCATCAATACAATGATTTCTTTGATGTGGCTATTAGACAGTATATGCCCTTTTCATAGCAGATCTCTTTCCAGATGTTAAGCACACTATACTAATTGCTTAAGTTTTTTCCACTTGCTCCTATTCTCTTTTTTTGTATATTTTCCTCTCTTTGGAATTCCAGCACCATTCTTTTTAAGTGGAGTTAGGTTACAAATTTACTTAACTGAAGCAAAAATGAAAATAAATTTTATATGTTGCTTCTTAATCCTTTCATTTTATAGAGTCTAAAAATGCTGCCTTCAGTAAATATATATATATACAGGGCAGTATAAGACTCTCAGCAGATCCCAAGATGATATTGATTTATAACTAACACAAAAACAACCCTGATATGAAGTGGTACCTAGGTTTTATTGCTTTCATGCTACTATAACAAGAACACCCATACCCACATTCCTGATAATGATCCTTCCCTGGAGCAACATGAAAGGTCACCTGCTTATAGGAAAAGAATAAGATACAAATGATGGAACCTTGTGCTGGGTCAGGGAAGGAATAAAATTATCCAAGAATGTTAGAGCTGAAGTAAGGAAAGCAATAGTAAGAATATGACAACTGTATAGAAGAGGACGTGATCCAAGAGGACAACCTGAACAATATGAGACCAAGTCATTTGGTGGTTTGCCATTCCGAATAAAAAACATAGGCTTAGGCCACAGGATTTAGCCCCTTGCTCACTGTAGGAAGCCAAATTAAAGCATCCTTGGCAATTGGTGTGTTTTTTTAGCTAACTTTCTAATGATCCTTTCTGCTAAAGAAGGCAAAATCCAACTTCTTTAAGATCATTATTTCACATTCTGTGCTCTGAGGTAATAGAAAATAGGTCTTAAACTTCTGTGTAATAGCCTATCAATTGATTTGGGACCAGTCATTTTTAGCACATTCACCTGACAGAGGGGTTGTAGGAAAAAACTAAAGGATGGAATATTAATTATACTGCCTAATTAATTATATTAATTATATTATACATGAATATAATATTTGGATAAATATTATATAATATTAAATAAACCAACTATAATGGTTTATCTCTTCTTTTGAATCATCTCATTGAATGCTGAATGTTTTTCTGTTTGGGCTTCTGATTTCTCCATACCCCCTTTTTAATGTTTTAAACATTGCACTGTTCTAATTCCTATAATGTTTACATTATTATGTTGATATTTTTATGTTGTTTTTATCTTTGTACACTTTCAAGATGTTCTTGCAATGGGAAGCAGTATTTAAAAGTTTTTAAAAGAAACAATACTAGAAAGATTCAGGGTTTAATTTGAATTTCTTCATTCTACGCTTGCATCCTAAGCCGATTGGCTATAACAAGAAGCCACATACAGTATGGGTGTTCTGGGAATAATACTTTGAATTGGATTACCTGTGATATCCTGGGAATGCTCATTTGCTGCCCTGTTCCAAAACTATGCAGGATTTCTGAATCTCTGCTGAAGGAGAAAGTAGAAAAGAACTCAATTGAAGGAACATAATATGATGAAACATTCTTCAGACAAACAGACTTCAGATCAGGGGCAGCTCCTATTAGACAGAAAATCCCAAGCTCTTGAGAGTTGAAGAAGTTATAAAACTTTCTTTTAACTTTCATCTGGTTGCACTGTAATAACATGGCCTTCACTATAACCAAACCTAGCCCATTTCTTCTCTGTCAACTTCCCTTAGCAAGAGTTCCAACAATATTGCTGTACACAGAATTCTTTGTTGCTCCTTGACAAAGATAGGATGGGAGCAAATGAACAATACAGCAAGCTGCGATGAGCCTATAAAAGTACTATGAAGAGATAAACCTAGAGGGCCAAAACAAATAATAGGATAAAGCAGTGTGTATTTTGGAACAGTCAATTGTATTTGATGCCAGTATAAGGAAAAACAGAGAAACTATTCAAGCATTCATATACCGATCCAAACAAGATATTTTATTCCCACATTGCCTAGGCTAATCTGTCTCCAGCATATGTGTAGATTTATTGTTGAGACAACAGAGTCATTAACCCATTGGATTAAATCCAAATTGTTACTTTAATTTAAGGGACTTACATCATAGCTAAGTTGTTCCAAAAAATCATCAGTTGTGTCTGAGTTCAACAACTTGATCTGGATCCAAATTGCTGAGATTAGAGGGAAGGAAGAACATCACGTAATCATAAAATACCAAACAATTGAAGCTTTGACTGGGTCTGAATATCAGAATTTTTCCTCCAGAACCAGCTCTTTCTTCTAGAGCCTGTTACTAAGCTTCATGATGTTATCTCTTCAAAGTGTTATATTTATTTTATTTTATTTCTTTCTTTCCTGTCATTATTTTTACAAATAACTCAAAGCGATGAACATATCCAACAAACTTTCCTCTTATTTTTCCTGACAACCACCACCCTGTGAGGTGAGTTGAACTGAGAGAGAGTAACTGGCCCAAAGTCATCCAGCTGGCTTTTGTAGTTAAGGCAGGACTTGAACTCAAAGTCTCCTGCTTTCTAGCCTGGTGCTTAAACCATTAAACCAAAGAGCATGGAGGAATTTGCAGGATGAATATTAAAGATAAAATATATAAAATAATATAAAAAGACAGTTTACAAATAAACCAACAAACCATGAGATACATGAGTCACATTAAGAACATTTTAATAGTAAAAAAGTTCAGTAGTGGAATGTTTGCAATCAACATCCCATTATGGATAACAGAAATTCTAACTAGATATGTTTGGATCTAAAGAAAGTAAATGAATATACAAATTTATTTATTTTTATATTTGTTTGTTTGTTTATTAAATTTGTATAGTCACACATCTCACCAATATAACCCTGCATGGCTCACAACAATTAAAACAAGAATTGAAATATAAAAAAATAAAATAAAACCATATACTATTATCTTAAAAAGGCACAATTAAATACAAATCATCATATAAATTATAATTCCATTTAATATAGCCATTACTAAGGCCAATCACTTCTACTGAACCTCCAGGCATGAAGGTACAACCAACTCTTCAGGCCCTTCCAAAAGACCAGAATGGTAGGGTTAATTTTAGTAGAAATGACTAATTAAGGCATTAGTAATACACCATTAGTCCAATTATCTGTAAGAAGGTCAGTGATTCTCTTCCAGGAACATCTGGACAATCCAGGAGCTAGATCAGCATCCCCAGAGCATCTCAAAGTTGATGGGGCAAAATATTTGGGCTGCTTTTTGCATTCAGGAGTTGGGGAGCAAAATTGGTGCCTTCAGTCTTGAAAATGCTCAAATCACCTAGTGCATTCTTAAAACTCCTGTTCCTCCTAGCACACTCTGTCCTGCCCCATCCATGTTTTGGGGTGTGTTCTCCAAAGTGCCATGTAAGATTTATGTGGCCCTCAATCCAAAGGAAATTGTGCAGAGGAATAATCATTTGACAATTGCTTCTTACCAAAAATTTGCAGGGATACAAACTTTGCAGTGATTAATATATGTTAGAGAGCAGTTTGGTGTAGTCAGTTGGGTGGCCTTGGCCAGTTGGTTTCTCCTAGCTCTGGGAAGGAGACAGCAGCAAACCACTTCAGAAATCTTGCCAAAAAAATTGCAGGGACTAAGTCTAAGTCAAAGGCACAAAAAAGTTAGTCCAACAAAATGGCATTCACATTATAGAAGAAAATAAAATTAGATTGCAGAGATAGAATGGAAAATATTCATTTGACATGTCCCTTCCTGTATCAGTACCCAATTCTACAATAAAACCTCCAAGTATCTCCTGTTTGGCCATTGTACCATCATAAAAGCTGCATTAATACATCTAGAATGGTGCTAGTATAACAGGACACAACTTCTTTGTCCTAGCTTTATGTCTCTCACCTGGAATATCAGAAGCATAGAATTATTCAGATGAGTCATGCTAGTTTTTAAGCACAAATGCTCTAGATTACAAAACATACATTGAACCACAGGGAACAAATGACCCTTGGTTGTTGAGAATTCTTTAAGCAAAGGCTTCAAACCCATAGGAAATGAATTTTAAACTGTAAAATTAATTTGGAACACTGAGCTGTGATCAGAAAATTATGAGATTAGATTCAGGATCTAAATCTAATACTCAGATTAATATAAATGCAATTTGGACCAAAGACTTGGTCTAGCTAGGTCCTAGCTGTCCATGCATTTGGGAGTGTCAGTTTTGGGAGCTTTCTTTAAACAATAGGTGGCTGTTGTCACTTCAGAAATTCCATGACACATCAGCCCTATTGTGTAACCCTTTTGTGAACTAAAAATAGTTCTCTTTATGACAGGAAATTGCTCTGGTGAAATTGCTCAATTTCTAGGTCACTGTAAAGAAGACAAACACTAATAAGAGAAACTGCAAATGTTCCCTGCAATTTCTGAACACTTCAAAGTCCTGAATTATTGAATTTGCTTTACAATCTGTTTGGAAAGGATCAGTAACCATAGATGGGAACGACTTCTACAAAGCTGCAGGAGAGACTTTGCAAGTCTGGGTAGGCAATCCTGAGTTAGATGGGGAAGAATGAAGTAGCACAGGGCTTTTCTGTAGACCTCTCTAGGGTTCCATGAGAAACTAAGGATAAAAAAGCCAAAATCCCAAGTTTAATTGAAAGCAGCCAATTTCCTATCACCAGGGTTTTGCTTCTTGATCAGAGCTGGTTTTAATTAACAGACTTTGAATTTGTTTGAAAACCCCTGAATTAGTGTGTCATGGCAGGGAAGGTATTTAGGGAGTGTTCCCACTCCAGCTATTCTAACTCTGCCCTATGGCTTTTTTGCTTATTATGTCCAAGTCTTGCTGGTCTGTGGACAAACCTGGAATGTTTAAGCAGAGGTGAAATGATACAAAACTCAAGGAAACTGATGTAGCCAAATGGTCTTATTAATCACAAGGAACAGAGGCTTGTCCATTGATTCTGCTCAAGTTGTTCTTGCTGAAAGATGGATATATATAAAGTAAACATGAGGCAGAACTAAACAGTGCACAGTCCCAAACTTTTCTCCTACAAACCGGACTGCAAGTAAATCATTTATCTGAAGGAAACATTCCTTCAAACTTCAGTATAAAAAAATGCAAAACAAATTCTCCACCTATGTAAATCTAAGGGGAATATTGGTTATGTCCACCCAAAAATATTTGTGCATGTATACTGTATACATGAAAATATGCCACCTATCTTCTCTGGGTGATAAACAGAAGATAAAAATAAACAATTAGAATCAATTATATGAGCCAAGTTAAAGTCCCTGCTAAAATCTCCATAATCAGACACACATACTGTGCTTCCACTAATATCCTGGTCCTGGTGACTGCAGGAGGCAGGAGTAGAGAGGAGCCGGGATGGGGCCTCCAGAATTTCCAGGGAAGATTTTTCCATGAAGCAGGTGCCATGACACAGAAGGTATGCTTCCTAAATCCTAGCAGCCTAATCCTGCTTCATCAAGGGGACCCAGAGCATGTCTACTGTTCCAGATCTGGTGGAGCAGACAAAGACCACTAAAGATAGGCAGTCCTGCAAGCAATCTGGTCTCATGCCACATATAACTTATAAAAATGCTGCCTCATTCAGATGGCATGCAGGGACAAAGTAAAACTCCATGTCAGTGCCATTCTAAAAGCTTCAGTTAACCTTCATGATACATCCTTTCTGTAATTCGTATGTATTTAAAGTTTGATTTCCATCTCTGGTTCTTGCTAGGACAGGGAGTGCCTGAGGCTTTAGCTGAGATAATACCAAGGCTTTAATTATCTGAATGTTGAGCAACTGCAAAAGTCACTGTACATCTGTTGTAATGCAACCATTATGCCAGGGTTCTTCCATGCGGGAAGGCATATTATTTGGAAAATAAATAACTCACTTCCATAAAGGGCCTGGTTGGATTATATGATCAACTCTTGTCGTTTACAAGGACTGATATCTCCTAAGATGTTAATGGTTAAATAATATGCAAAGTTTTATTGCATAGGGAATGATTGCTTCATAGTTAGTCCAAAATACCATCTTGATATGTTTATTATGATGCCTTCAAGAGTTTCAATCAATAAATAGGAGGAAAACAGTGAGATTGCATGAATGTGTTGATGATGTGAACAAAAGGAAGGAGAACTTAAGGAAGGGCTATGCATAAAGGTGAAAAGATGACCTCAAAATAATCATGATAGCATATCTTATTACACCTGACTTGAGCCTTAGATTTGGTACAAAAGATTTTGCTATGTATCTCAAATGCAATCTTCTTAATAGGTAGTTTTAAGGTTTCTCCCCTTTGTAGGATGTTAAGTATTTGTTGTGTCTTAAGAGTCTCTTTGGGGGATGAAAGGAATGAATGAGGTTGTCAGAACTTCACAGGAGTGGTGCCCTATTCTTCATATTTTCTGTTGGTTAAGAGTTAGTATCTTTTTGCCCTTTGATCTTATTAGGACATCAACTAAAACCTCTTCTAAAAAAATTTCCACCCTTGATTTGTACTTGTACTTGATTTGTTCCAGTGGAAGGACAGTTGTCTCTTAGTGGTCATGTTGGCTGCTATACCTTTGGATGAAAATAGCCCATTATCTAGTCTAGTTTATTCATGTCATAGGTGAATTTGCTGCTGAGGAAGAATGAGTTCAGCTAGTTGTTTGAGCCATAGAACAGAGGTGTGAATGAAGACACATATAATGGCTAAGGCTGTATTCTTGTGAACTCTGTGTTACAATAACATCCTAAGTGCTTGAGATGATTCTCCTTATCTTTGTCCCCTTTGACTTCCAGAAGCAGAATCGCCAAAGGGGTGTCTACTAGGAGAATTGTGGATGGAATGCAGGATGAAATAAGGCATTGGAGGAGAGCCATTGAATCAGGTCCACCATGGTGATGTCCTAATAAAAAGTAATGAGGAAGGGGGATTGGCCATCCAGTACTGCTGGCTTTCATTCAGTTCAATGCCTGGGGAATATGGCTCCGTGGTGAAGTAGCTGTGAGATTTCTGAAGGCTATCAGCAGCAAGTGGCTTGTGGCTAGCAGGCTGGTAACCATGATCGTGTATCCCTAAGGAAAACATGTAATGAATATTTTGTTGCTAAATCACTGGAGCTCATTTTGTTTATCCCCGCCATCAGAGAAACTCTTTGATATGACCACAGAGAGTGAATTGTTTTTTGGAGTTTACTAGTAAGAGTACCTGATAAAGTCTAAGGAAAGTTAAAAGGAATGACTGGCCACATGAGTGGCTGCCAGAGTGTTCAACCATGCATAATCCCTGGACTAAAAGAGGGCCTGAATTACAATTGGATTCACTGAAATTTAAACATCGCCAGGGGGCAGGGCAGTGGCACACTATTAAATGCCCTAGTTTTGTTGTAGGAAAAAGAAAAGGCAACAATCACACACACAGCATTCCAAATAAAATCAATTCAGTCATTCTAGGTAATTATTACCTTCTTAGCTCCTTTTGTGTTTCAGATGTGTGCATTGCAAAGAAGAGATTGAGATTATGTTGGCATTATGACATTATGTCTTGTGATTGAATGTCTATAAGCAGACCTTTCTTGATCCTTGTTGCTTTCTTTGACCAATTATCTCTAACTTTATAGAATGTAGATTGGACTACATTTCACTGGCTTTGTCCAGTCAAGGATAATATTGCATCTATGATGTCCTGGGCCCAACCAGCAAATTGGACATTATCTAGGGACTAGGGACTAAGCCTATCTTCCCAAAAACCTTGATACAATTAAATGATTACATGGAAAAATCTCTCTCTCCCCCCCCCCCCTCTCTCTCTCCCTCCCTCCCTCCCTCCCTCTCTCTCTCTCTCTCTCTCTCTCTCTCTCTCTCTCTCTCTCTTTCTCTCTCTCTCTCTCTCATGCTATTTCCAGTGCTGTACTGTTGGAATCAAAGAGCTTTGAAACTAGTGCAATCTTTTTTCCCCTGAAAAAAAGCATGCAAGCGACCCAAAAAACCCACCCAGTTTCATGGGTTGCTCTATACACTATACAGCAAAAACAAACCGAATTTGAAAAATCCATTCCTGCCCACTCTGTTCACAGCACTATTCCCCAGCCTATTGCATTTCAGAGATTATCACATAAAAACTCATATCAGACAATAGCAACCTTAGTTGGAATGACAAGAACTATAATTTAATGGAAACATTGATCATTGTGAAAAGTCCCAGTGATTCAACCACACTTACATTATTTTTGGTTGCCCCACAGCTGGGCTGAAAATACATGTTTCGGCTGGCAGATACAACAATATTAGGGGATCACCAAAGAACAGAACTTCTCTTCATGTGATCCAACACAATTTGTGAAAGTGCCCTTTAAGAAACAAGCAGTTTAAGCAGAAGAGGAAAGTATTTAGCATACAATTCAGTTTTAAAATAGAGCATATAGCCTGGATACAGAACATAGATGACATTTCTTGAAGCAAAATGATAAAAGGATAGAAGGAAATGCCATATTGAAGTTAAGACAAGATTCTTAAGACATCTGGAAAGTTAAAGTAAGCCTTCCTGAGACAGAGTGAGAGCTCACTGTCTCTACCACATCTCCATCTTTCCTCAGCCCAATTAGGCTAGGCATCTCAATTGCATTTTTAGGGTTTAACTATGCTATCATATGTATAGCTGAGAGAGAAATCCATATAATATCAAGCAACAGAGACTGGATTTTTATCTCACCTTTCCACCATAGTTCCATGTAGAGCACATAATATTTGCCTTCTCTAATATTATCCACATATCAATTCTGTGGGATTGGCTTAGGCTGTCAGATAGCGATTGAACCTATCCAGTGGCAGAATTCAGTTCTCATGGCAGAATCAGGCTCAGGTTATAAACCAGAGTCATTCTCAGCCCTAGTACAATTGTAATTGCTACACTACTTTGAAAAGGTTAGAATATAGTATTAAGAAAACCTGAAGATCCAACACTGTGAAAAAGTGGCAAAGCAAAATGCTATAATATTACAGAAAGTAAATATTCTTGAAACATGTGGTTAAGGACAAGTTTTCTAAAGTTTCTTTGGTACACTCAGCCAATAGTCCCAGCACATCTGCTTGATTTTCTGAACTGTCCCCTCACAGACAGGTGTGAAACCTACTGTACTGTCACATGAGTGTCTCTTTTATTTTGTCCTTGTTCAAAGCATCTTTCTAGGACACGGGTGTCAAACTCGCCATGTCATGTGATGTGGCTCGACGTATCGCAACTTCTTTTTTTTGCATTGCCGGCAATGGGGTAGGTGCAGCTTTGGTATGATGAAACCGGCTCACGGGTCAGCAGTTTGATAACTCTGTTCTAGGATCTCCATAAAAACCCATAAATTGACTTTAGAAGTTACCATGTGGATTTCCCTAGATTTTGGCCAAAGGGAAATATTTCGGTGAGAGGCTGCTGATTCTTTCTGAAATACACTCTCCTTACCACAAAAACAAATACAAATAGAATCGTCTGCACAAAGGTCTATGGCTAAAACAGGTGGTTTCTTTCTACTGTTCTTTCCTTGCCTCAAGGGCTGTGAAGCTTTTTATCCTTTCACAGGAGCTAGTAGGCATTGTAGCTTGGCCACCAGGGGGCCTGTAGTCCAACAAAAGAGGATTGGAATGAATTACTGGGGTTTTTTTTTCTTCTGTTTTTAATTCTGCCCAGAGATCTGAGGGAATAAACAGCAGCAGTGAGCTGGCAAGGCAGACCAAAGTGTCTCTCTGTCGTCGCTCAAGCAGGACTGAGACTTCAATCTCCTCGCTTATTCTATTCCCTGTCCCTGACCCTCTTTTAAGACCACAAGTCAAAGTGAAGAAACTTTTTCCTTTTCTCACTGAGGGCAGTGACATCTCTGTTTACTGGGTGAATTCCTTTCTCCGCATCTCTTCTCTTTACCTCTGTTTTGCAGAAAGAAGGATGTCTTTGCCTTGGACAGGTATGCTTTTGCTTAGTTTTCTGCAGCCACTGGAAACCTTGATGAAAGAAGGAGCTGTCCCATTTATTGAAGAAAACTATGCACCCTCCAGAATGGATGCAAAGGCTGGAGAAGGTCATTTTAAAAGACACGTGAATTCCAAAGGCATCCTGATGGAGTTACTTGGAGAACTAGGCAGGATGAGAGACTCAGAACCAACTTGCAACCATGAAGAGCAACAGTTCTCAGAAGAACAGCTGAGGTGGAGAAGAACACGTAGGGGAACGAAAGATGATGATGCCAAGTCAGTTCAGCAGTATGTTCCAGGCGTCAAAGTAGAGTTTCCTCAGCCTGCAAACCCAGCCACTTTACAGCCAACGAACCCTCTAGCACCATCCAGCACAGATCCTTTTGAACCCCACCAACAGAGCCCGGCGGTCTATGGTGATAGAGAGGCCCAGGTTAATAGAACTGTGGCATTAGGAAAGCGTCTTCAGATACAGAACCCTCTCTATCCAGTGACAGAAAGCTCTTATAGTGCTTATGCTGTCATGTTCCTGTCGCTCATTGTCTTTGCTGTGGGCATTGTTGGGAACCTCTCAGTCATGTGCATTGTCTGGCATAACTACTACATGAAAAGTGCCTGGAATTCCATTTTGGCCAGTCTTGCTTTCTGGGATTTTCTTATCCTCTTCTTCTGCTTACCTGTGGTCATCTTCAATGAAATTACCAAGAAGAGACTGCTGGGAAACTTCTCCTGTCGCCTTGTGCCCTTCATGGAGGTAAGAGTTTCCTCTGCTAAGCTCTAGCATATATCTTCAGCAACTTTGTGTCTCCATTTGGAGAATAGAGGGATAATGTTATTTGTACTTGGCCAGCTTGATGTTTTGAATTTGATTTAATCCAATGACATTTGGCCTTACTAATACCCAATAAGCTGAGCTTTCCTAACATCAAGTTTGAGGAGTGATTGATTGATTGATTGAAGAGCTATAGAAAACACCATTTCTATTCCAAAAATGATAACAATAATGCTTTTGGGAAAATGGAAACAAGCACAGTTATGCTTTTTTCAATGCCAATTATTTGAAGAATGTTTCTGTGTTGACCCCAGAGATACAAAGTTGAAGTTGTGCCTTATATTTCTAGGAGATAATAATGTGCAATTTTTATGCAATCATTAATAAATATTAATGATTAATAAATATTAATAATTCAACCATTAATATATTCTAATCATTAATAGACTGTCCAGCAGCTTGGTACCTTCCATGTAGATAGGGCTAACATATGGAGAACAACAGGTTAAAGGATGCTGCATTAATAGATGAAAACTAGGTACTTCTCACATTAAGATTATAAAAGTGGAGCTTTAAAGTCACCTAAAGAAATAAGATCTTAATTAAAAAAAAGTATGTGCATCTAATGCTTGTGCTGAATCTATAATTAGCAGGTGTAGGCCTTCTCTAGTTTGACAGTTCAAGATCTAGACTCAAGCCATCATTCTTTAGAGATCATGCACATTTAATTACACTGAGTAAAGATTCTTCTATAATTCAAGACTGAGAATTCTGAAAGGAAATTGCCAGTCTAAGAAAAAAATTTGCCCAATGGATATAATGCATTTCAGATTATACCTGCTGACCATAGGCATAGGAGGTGGACAGGAACACAGGATGAAGAAGGAAACAAGTCTAGAAGATTATCACTTGTAATTGGTTGAAGACCATTTAATTGTGAAAGGATGGTCTTCCTTAAATTATTCTCCCTAAACCAGAGAATTTTACTTTTAATAGGATAAAATGATAGCAAGTAAAAGTTTAGCTATCGTTGAATCATTGGCTGAAAATGCTGAATTTCTTCTGAGGACACAACAATTGTTACTATTCTAATTCTTTAAATCTCAGGGGCTGTTAAATTAAAAAAGAGTTGATCAAGGTAATTATAAATGACAAATATTTGGAAGCCATATAACCAGGGTGAAGAATTTATGGATCTCTGAATATTGCTGAACTACAGTTGTCAGCATCCCTGGTCATATCCAGCAATACCCAGTGAGAGAGAGTTTGGGGTATATATCATAGTCATCAACTTACTCTCATAAGATAGGGTGAGAGAAGGAGATATTGAATGAAGTGCCTTTTCAACAGATCATAAATCTGTACAAAGCCTGCTATGGCATAAAACTTTAGCTTTGCTACTCATAAAGGTTGTATGTCTTCCCTAAGAGTTGGGCTTCTCCTAAGATGAAAAAGAGAAGCTGTGTTTTGAGCAATGTGAAGTTTCCATGGAAAATCTATTTGGCTGAAATGCATTACCATGGAGTCTTTGTTAATAACGGCAGGGAAAGGCCATTTTAATTTTCTTTCAACAGTGCACTAGGGATTTACAAAAACACAATTAACTAGATATGACTGCAACAGCCTTACTTCCATAAATCCAAATTTCACTTAAAAAGACTTGCAAGGATGGGGACATTGAATTCAGCCTTCCACAATCTTGTCATTAGATGGTATTTTATTTATTTATTTAAATTCATTAGCCATGGGAGCATAACTGAAATAAAACCTAGGCAGAGATCAACACCAATAGAAACCTGCTCAACTGGTTGGGCCTGCAACAAATTTACAGGGTCTGTGCTACCATCACACTTATCCTCAAGCCTTTGATCAGGTTGTGACCTTTACTTGGAAATATCTATTTAGTTTAGGTTATACGGAATAATCTCTTGGGCCTGGCATAAACAATAAAAGAACTGGAAAGGATTTTAGAAATCACCTAGCTCAGTGTCATAAATCCATTAGAGCAGGGGTGTCAAACTCAATTTCACTGAGGGCCGCATCAGCATTGCGGTTGCCCCCAGGGGGCTGGGTGGATGTGGCCAGGGTTGGTGCAGCCTACTGGGTGGGTATGGATGGAGTGGGTGTGGCCTACTGGGTGGATGTGGCCAGCTCTACATCATTCGCGTCAAGGGTGCCTGTGGAGGCCTGGGCAGGAGTGGGATAGATCTGAGGGTCTCTGGCAGAAGGGGGTGGGACCAGGGCAAGTGCCAAGGCATGATCCACTGGAGAAGCCTCACTGTTCCTCTCAGGCCATGCGGGGGGGGGGGGCCTTATGGAGCTAAGACTGAATACGTTTCAGCATAGATGGCCACCACAAAATTGTACATTGGCTCCTGGCTGGCCTGGGCCAGGGCCAAGGCAGAGGAGGCCGTTCCCTCACTGTTTCCAGGATGGCTTTGCGGGCCACATGAAACCACTTCGCAGGCTGCCTCCGGCCCCCGGGCCTTGTGTTTGACATGTCTGCATTAGAGCATCAATGAGAGATGACTATCCATGCTCTGTCTGGACCTCAAATAAAGGAGAATACATTAGAGAAAGTTTGTTCCAGTAGTTTACTGTATAGGGTGCAGAGATCTTCAAACCTGGCCCTTGTAACCTGGCTGAGGAATTCTGGGAGTTGAAGTCCATAAGTCATAAAAGGGCCAAGTTTGAAGACCTCTGGGGTAGAGAGTCAGAAAGTTCTTCCTTATACCTGGCTTAAATCTACATCCGTATAGCTTTAATTAACTGATTCTGGTCCTGTCCTCTAAGAAATAGAGAATAGGTCCAAAATTTTATATTCTATTAAACAGAAAGGAAAATATTGTGTGTTGGATGTGAGATAACTGAAGATAGAGTTGGGCTGCTTGCTTAGTAGTATCTAACCATTCCATATAACAGATTGTCATAGAGAAAAATCTATCCATCATGGTTTACTCAATAAAGTTAATCATAGATTGACATTTTCTGTAAAGACAGCAACACTTTTCAGAATTACCACTAGCTCTTATGCCATACTGTATTTAGAGCACAATTGAGTTTAAGGACATGCATTGAATTCATACAGTGTCTTTAACCAATTATTGATTTAATACATTTCTGACTTTACAATATACATTGAATTATCAGCTAGCCAATAGTTTAGATTTGCATATTAAGCTAAACCAAAAAAACATAAACCAAGGTTAACTAACCCAAACCAAGTTTAGAACATTTTTATGCTAAGCCTTTATTTATTTGTTTATTTGCTTGGAAAATTTATATTGCTGCCTACTTGCTCATGGCGACTCAAGGTGGCTTACAGGAAATAAAACACAATATAAAAGAAATAAAAATAACAACTAATCTGGCTAAGTGTACTATATGAAAACAGATACTGTTGATTTTTAATGACTATTTTAAAAGGCTTTTTAATTATTCAATATAATAATAATAATAAAGTTGGAAGAGACCTTAGAGGTCATCCAGTCCAATCCCCTGCTCAGGCAGGAAACCCTATACCATTTTGGACAAATGGCTGTCCAGTCTCTTCTTAAAAACTTCCAGTGTTGGAGTATTCACCGCTTCTGGAGGCAGGTTGTTCCATTGGTTAATTGTTCTAACTGTCAGGAAGTTTCTCCTTAGATCTAGGTTGCTTCTCTCCTTGATTAGTTTCCATCCGTTGCTTAACCAAACAGCAGCATGCAAATTTAATAAAATAAAATAATTGAAACAATTATTTACTCCTTTCATCATTATTTATATCTTTGATTCCGTACACTACTATTCTGTTGAATCTTTAATGAATTTGGAACTGTGAGTTCTTTAAAAAAATTTATAAGATAGTGCCATGC